GGGATCGGGCAGTGTTTCGTTCTGCTGTGCATGGGGTCGCTATGAGTCGGAAACGACTCGACGGCACTTAACAACAACAACAACAACAACAAGGCCATACTTCCACATGGCAATGACCAGCTGGATCTGAGCCTTCAGTAAGGGCTTATGCCCTCTGGTTTACCAAGCCCCACACAGTTTTCTTTCTTTATGTTACCTGCCTTTGACAGAATTAGTCTCTTAATACTCTCCAGGGAGATGCTCACCACCTAGTGAGGCAATCTACTCTAATTTGTAACAGAGCTCACTAAATTTTTGCACTTTTAGCTTCTACAGAGTTTAATTCTCATTAGTTGTATGAAACAACTAACCTTTCTCCATCTAGCTTTTCCCCTAATACTAAGCATTTTCTGGATAAAGATTTTTGCTAATCATTTAATTAAAGGCTCCTTAAACATTCTAGGTTTGTGGTTAGTTTTTGTTTGTTTTGTAATCTAAATTGTTTTTCAATCCAAGCCTGATTTTGGTAATTAAAATGGAGCAGAAGTAAGTCTTGGATGGGTGACCCTACAGCAGCTCCAGTTCCCCTGGGCAAGAGAAGGCAGTAACCACTCCCTCCTACCTGCATCTCCACCACTTTTCCTTTGCTGCTTGGGCTGAGTGACCACTCATAGCTGGTAATGCCATGGTCATCAGTGCTCTGGTTTCCAAAGAGGGTGATGGAATTTTGGGGCAGAGTGATCACTTGGTTGGGGCCTGCGTTGGCCACAGGGGGGTAATCCACAGCTTTGTTCACTGTCAGGTTTGCAGTGGTTGAGTTCGTAGCTCCATCAGAATCTACTACAGTCAAACTAACAAGGCAAAGAGAAGAGAGCAATCAGGGATAGGCTTAAGGAAAGAGGAATAAACACTATAAGACTAAAAATCAAGACTAAAAATTATTGAGGTATTTCCTTCTGGAAAGGCAGAGCATAATAAAAAATGCTCACATGGACTGACAGTTTATGATGTGTACTGTTCCAAGCGCTTTTGTTGTTGTTATTTGCCATTAAGTTGGACCCCACTCATAGCAACCCCTCCTTGGGTTTCTGAGGAGGTATTACTATGGAAGTAGACTGCCCAACCATCCTTCTAAGTGTTGTACACCTCATTAAATCCTCACAACAGCTCTATCAAGTACTACCCTTATTTAACATATGAAAAGACTGAGGCAAAAGGAGAGAAAATCACTTGCCTAAGGTCATACAGCTTGAAAGTTGCATAGTCAGGATCTCAAATCAGGCATTATGTCTCCAGAACCACTCTGCTATGCTGCCTCCAAGTATCAGTGTGCTGGGATGGGACCTTTGTAAGACACCGTCTGATACAGCCCTCATAACAACCATATAAGGTATGTATCATAGATTACACATCACAGGAAGAGTAATTACAAGGAACCTGCCCAGGGCTACATAATGAGCCAAAATGCAAGCTCAGTTCTCTGATCTCAAAGCCCAGAACCAAGTCTGAAGAAGAAATAACCCATAGCCCCTTTTCCTGTGGGGTTCAAAGAAGCTACACTGAACAGAGCAAGCTCTGTATGCAGCAGGCTCTCCCTCTCCATCATCCTGTTGTGGCTATGGACCTATGCACCTAACACAAGAATCAATGTCCTGGGTGGACAGCCTCTGGGACAGATGAAGAGAATTGCCCCTAGTAAGGCAGAAGCTTAAGATGAAAATGAGTTCTGTTTACATTAGGTAGATACACTCCTTGGAGAGAACAATCATAGGAGAATAGAAGGGCTGTGTATGCACAGGGAGACAGCTCAGGAGGCAGAAGTACATGGAGGGAAGGACACAGGGAAGAGGTTAACTATGGGGAGGAAGTGAGAGAGAAGCTGTTGCATTGCAGGAAATCGCAGTCAATGTCATGAGATGAAGTATATGTGAGCTACTGTATGAAAAGTGAATTTGCTCTGTAAACTTTCACCCAAATCACAATTAAAAAAAGAAAGAAAATTAGTTCTTCTACACTGCCACAGTCCCCCAGCTTGTCCCAGAGTGAAAGAGGATTTGCAAGGGAAAAAGTTCACATATAAGAGAAGGCTTTGACCTAAATGATGCCTTCCAGCTGAACAGCCTAACTTCTCTTGCCACCTCAAAATAGGAGCCTAAGCAAGCAAGGAGCTGTGAGCTCTTTACATTTTGCTGACAGAAAGAGAAAAAGCATAGAAAAGATACATAATTGGTTTGAATCTCACCACCCTCAACAAACCAAGTCAGCTATCTGTGGATTTTTATTTTAAAAATTCCCTTTTCCTGAGTATGAAGGGATGGACACTGGGAGGAGGTAACTATGGGGAGGAAGTGGGAGGGGATCTGCTGCATTGTAAATTTTGGTCAATGACATGAGACAAAGTATATGTGAACTGCTGTATGAAAAGTGAATTTACTCTGTAAATCTTCACCCAAATCCTAATAAAAAAAAAAAAAAAAGAAAAGAGAAAAAAAAAAAAAATTCCCTTTTCCTATGGTCTAAAGGAGACTTACAGTATTATAATCTTTTAATAAGGAGCTCTGGAGATTTTTAGTATTATAATCTTGGGGGGGGGCACACAAAACACAAAACATCAGAGACACATATATGCACAAATCAGCAAACATCTGAAAAATAAAAATCCATAGAAATTTTGCCTCTATTCTGTTTCCTTGTTTTTACAAGTTCGTTACACATCCTACTTCTCTCTTAAAACAGAACAAAAGCAAGTTACAGACAAGTGCCAAAATGGCAGCTGCCATTGCTCTTTTACCTCAAAGAGCCTCCTGCCTGCTAGCAGGATTCCCGGAACCAAATGGCAGCTGACTACAGGGCTGAAAAGAGGCTACTGTCAAGTGTAAAGTGGAGGAGAGGAAAAGGTGAGAGAGCTGCAATCAGACTGGATGTTAAGAGGCTGACCCAATCCAATCCCACTGTTTCATATATAAAAAATCAGGCCTAGGGCCATGTGATTCTCAGCCTACATTACCCTGAGTGATACAGTGAATTATTTGGTATGGGTTTTCTAGACATAGACTTTGTAACTCCCACCAGATTACTGGATGGGACCATGCAAAGTGGGTGTGTAAAACTCTGATGTTGTTGTTTTAAGTTCTGTCACTCTGCCAGGCAGAAAGGAGGATCTCACTGCCATCAACAGAGAAGAGTTGGAGGTAAAGTGGAGTACGTCCTTGGACCTGAGATCCCTGGCACTAGACCTCCTTGGCTGAAGAGACACCTGGCAGAGAGAAGCCCAGCTGAGAAAGACACTCAGCTAAGAGATGGTGGCAGAGGAACCAAGAGGCAGGAGACAGAGAAGTGGACTTTCCAGTCCATGGAGCGAGAAAACGGAGTATCCTTGGGCAGAAGGCTTGCTGGTGGATTGGGGTGCATGTAAATGTACCTATCAGCAGAGCTAAAAGAGCTTTGTAACGTTTGCCAGAGCAGGACAGAGGCCAAGCCAAGGGCCACAGAGGCGAGCCTAGGGGCATAGCACAGGGAAGACTGTCTTGATTGAAGAACTGTATCCTGAGTGTTCCTGAACCTGAATTATAACCTGTTACTTCCCTTAAAAACAACCAATAATCCTGACTATTGCCTGTGAGTTCTGTGTGGCCAATGCAATGAATTACCAAACCTAGCAGAGAAGCAGTGCGTGCTGTGGGAGGAAGGGCTGGTGCGAGAACTGGTAGAAAGGCTGGAGGGTAGTGGCATGTCTGGGCTCACTGGAATAAGCCTTAGGCTGCTGTGGCTGATTCTGTCTTCCTCCTGTAAAGTCAGAAAAGGTCAGAAAAAGCTGTCCCCACACCCTTTTTGCACCCTGCAACCAGAACTAGATGGTGCCTGACTACCAATGCCAACCACTCAAAAAAGGATCAGTGCAAGAGATCCTGGATAGAGTGGCAAAAACTGTGAAGCAAAACTTAAAATCATAAAAAAAAAAAAGACCAGGCTTACTGGTTTGACAGAGACTGGTCAAACCCCCTCAGACTATATATAGGTCCTAGTCACCCTTCAGGTCTGGAATTGAACTCACTCCCATGGCTTCCAGGCAAGCAATAGATAGGCATATAAGGTGAACATTTATACCAGGTATATACACTCCTTAGAACAATCAACCATGGGAGATCAGAAGGGCAGTATTTGCACAGCTCAGAGAACAGGAATGCATAAGAAAGAAGGACACAGGGAAAAAAGTGAAGGAAGTGGAAGAGATCTGTTGTTACATTATGAGGACTATAATCAATATCATGAAAACAAAACGTGTATGAACCGCTATATGGAAAATGAATTTGCTCTGTAAACTTTCACCCAAATCAAAATAATAATAATAATAAAGTTTAAAAAAAAAAATCAGGCCTAGTCAAAAAGAATCACTCCCAATATCCATTTCACCCAAAACAACTACAGGCTAACACTGTGGTTAAAAGCTCAGACTGTGGAGTTGGTGTGACCTTAACCTCTTCATGCCTAAATCTGATCTGTAAAATGAGAATAACAGTACCTGCTGTAAGGATTTAAAAAGATACTGCATGCTAAAAGTTCTGAACAGCACACAGTAAATGTTTAAGAAATATGAGTTATTATTACTATTTAAAAAAGGGTCAATCTAGCCCAGGGTAAATTTCATAAATAGGAAAATCTCTATATTAGAAATCTAAGGTAAAAGTTAACTCAAATTTCCCTCTTAAGTCAACGTGAATACTCCAATCTTGTTGTCCTGGCAGCTACCTTTCATTCACCTGAAGTCTTGAGTTGAGGGGGTGCTCTTAAGTCAGAACTTGTGTATTTATTTATATGGGAGTTGCTGTACTAGGATACTTACCACTATAACCCTGGCAATGTATTAAACTTGATCAATCTCAGATCCAGTGGGAAAGAGAGATACCAATGAATAAAGTGCCACATCAGGTTGGGTGCCACAAAGGCACTAAGGGCAACAGGTAAAGAGGAAAGACATATTCTCTCCTCTCTCGAAGGACCTCAGAGAGCCTTGTGGAAAACTGAGCTGATCCTTAAGGATGGACAGAACTTCAACAGACTGAGAAGGGCATTCAAAGAAGCATAAACAAAATATGTATGGTCAAGAATGGAGTCGAATGAGGCCTGCCTTGGGGATTAGAAAATCTACATTGAGGTCCCAGCTGTGTGACCCTAGGGAATTTTACTAAGTACACTCTGAGCCCCGTTCTTCTCAACAGTAAAATGAGGACATACAGTGTTTGCATGATACTACTGTACAAATGCTTTGTAACATACAATGAATTATGAAAATAAAAGGATTATTCTAGAATCAGGGTCATTGTCAAACTCTTATTAATCACCTTCTAGAACGTCAACACTAGTTCTCAAAAGGACTTTATTTGAATCAAATGCTCCAAAAGGTCCCAATAGAAAAAGAGATTATGAAGAAAAACATTCTACAAATCATATTCAACCAGATCATTGGTCAAAAGTATCAAAAGTTGAGGAAGCACCTCCCAAAAGGAAGGACACAATGAGAGTAGGTTCCTTCTAGATTTTGCCTAAGAAGAGACAAAGGATGATGGACTCTTTCACTTAATTTAACAGGCTTTCTAGAAAATTTTGGAGATCTGCCATGTAAGGCTTTGAGCAGGAGGACTATGATAAATTCTGATGTAGCAGGCAAGAACCCTTTACCCTAAAAAATTATCACTGTTGTGCTCACAATCACCATAGATCTTAAAGAACCCAAGGAACCAAAGCCTGCATTATCAATAAACTCTACAATGAATTTGGTATTTGTCTGAGTTGCTCCTATAAGAATGTAAAAACCCATAAGGAAAACAATGGCCCATGGTACACTTGAGGCTAGATCTTTATTTACCTGAAAGTGTAGTTTCCAGGGACGAGCTTACTTAGTTTTAATATGGCTGTATCTGCTGAAATCTTCTCTTCTCTCAGAGGTCCCTTAAGTTCCTCCCAATGATACTGGACAATTTTATCATCATCAGTGCTCTCTTGACCATAAAGAAACATCAGTTACAACATAAAAGCATTGAGTCTCAGTACTTATCCAGTTTACACAAAGCACGGCAACTATTCAGAGATCTGAGGCTAGAAAAACTTCATGAAATTACAGACTGGCTCTCCAGAGTGTTCTTTCCTAGGACTATTGGGTCATTCTGCCGTTCTACGAATACTCCACTGAATGGTTTTCCAAAGACTCCAACACAGGCAACATCTGGTTAAGATGCTACTATATAAAAAAAGGAAAATCACTAACTCTTAAACACATGAAAAGACACTCAACTTCACTTAAAATAAATGTAAATTAAAATTACACTTGAGCATGGAGGGATGGACACAGGAAAGAGGTAACTATCAGGAGGAAGTGGGAAGGGAGCTGTTGCATTGGGGTAAATCGTAGTCGACGTCATGAGATAAAACGTATGTGAACTGCTATATAGAAAGTGAATTTGCTCTGTAAACTTTCACCTAAACCACAATTTAAAAAAAAAATTACATTGAAACACCATTTTTCAATCGGCAAAAGATCAAAGTTTAATAACACATTATATAGGTAAAGGTATAGAGAAATAGGTACTCTTGTAAGTCATAGTGGGACCATAAATCGATACCACCTTTATAAACCAATTTAGCAATTTTTATCAAATATTAAAATGCACATACTCTTTGCCCTGCAATTTTTATTCTAGAAATTTATCCTATATATGTACTTGCACATGTATAAAGTGTCATATTTATAAGATTACTCATGGTACCATCATTTGTAATACCAAAAGACTTCAAATAATCTAAACGGTCATCAACAGAAATTGATTGAAAACTAAGTAAATACTGACAGAGTGAAATTATACATCCATATAATGGAATGTTATACAACTGTTAAAAAACATATATAAAGAAGCATTTCATATGTTAATTCAGAAAATGTCTCCAACTTACAAAAGCAAGCAATGTGTGTATAAGAAGGATAAAAAATATACTGTATTTTCTTATGTATGCATAAAATATCTTTGGAAGGATGAAACCAGTAATACCATCTTTGGAAGGATGAAACCAGTATCACCACTGATTGGCCCTCTGAAGGAAAACCAGGTAGCTGAAAAGACAGTGTTTCTTTTCACTGTATACCTTTATATATTATTTAACTATGACCTATTCAAAACAATAAAATAAAATGATACTATGTGAACCTTTGCTACCACTCTCAATCACAGTGCCCTTTCCAACTCTTGGCCTCCTATTCTCCTAGCCTCCTCTTTGTCAGAACCATCAACATGAAATGCTTAACTCTGCTAGAGATTCCTCTACTGAAGTAGTGACTGCCTCTGCCAAAAACCACTGCTGAGTGCCAAGACAGTCAGGGTAACTTGAGCATTTATGGGTCTCAAAAGAAATGAAGCAAATATTGGTGATAAGAGGCTTGAAACCTACACACACATGGCCAGGATCAATGGCAAAGACTCAGAAATTCTCTCATATGACCCAGCAGATAATATTACTCCAAAGAGTAAAATGTTAAATGAGCCCAAGTGAGGCTGTGGAGCTCATTCTGTGGGTCTCCCTGGGAGAAGGTTGACAAGAATCTTGTTAAGGAGTGATGGCTGCTGAGAGTTCTTCAGTCAGGCCTCTCAGTTACTTACCTTGCTATGAGAGGAAGGAGCTTTGTTTCTGTAACTGAGAAGGCAGCTCCATCTAAGCAAATCTGAAAACCAGTGAGCTTCAACTAATATAATGTTAAATACGTGCATAATTCCAGAAATACTGCTTCAAACAAGCCACATTAAGGATTTTTAATAGGGACTGTCTGGTTTATTACTTCCTAATCAGTTTTTTCAGATGGTTGGTCTTCCCACAACATGGTTAAAAATGGCCTAAAAAGAATGCAGACATAGCTGGCCCCAAATCTTCTATTAGAATACACAGTTAGTGCTCCTTTAAATAGCATGTTTGGACGAGTACTCACGACTGCCATCAATGACTGTAGAAGTGGTTGGCAGAGAGATCTCCTGGAACTGTGGTGACACGATGGCAACAGGAGGCTGGTTCTTACGGGGCTCTGCAAGAAAGTGCCCCAGAAGAAGAAATCAGGAGAGGGGCTTTATACATTACAGAAAAAACAGACCATATCTGAGTGGGTTATATATCAGTTTCCATAACACAATTGATGGTTGAACCTTACCAAATGGGAAAGTCACAAGGCCAAGTTCTCATTCCAACTTAAGACACTTGGGAACGTAAAAGTCTTCCAGACCTGACCATTCCTAAGACCACGCCCTGTGTATTCCTTCAACTCATGAGCTATCTAGTCCACAGAAAGTACTATTGCAGTAAGTGGCCACTTTCAGGCAAACCTGACTAGAGGTAGACAACAACAAAGATTTGTGTAATAAAGACCATGGCAAGAAAGTCATTCCTTGGCACAGACAGTACTGAAAAGATAATGGATGATTTCTCAACCATCCTAAGCTGACTGTATGAAAGGATTATGCCTGAGTGAAGGAAAGGTTACAAATTACTCTGGTCTACCTAAATGACTGCAAGCTACAACCCAAGCGGCCTTTTCTTTAACAAATTATCGATCTTATTCAGGAAGCTAACAAACACATGAAGAAATGATCACAATCATTAGCCATTACAGAGATACAAATCAAAAAAAGAATGAGATATCAACTCACCTCAGCACTAATAGCAAAGTTCCAAAAAAACAGAAAACAATAAATGTTGGTGAGGGTGTGGAGAAACTGGAACTCTCATACACTGCTAGTGGGACTGTAAAATGGTGCAACCACTGTGGAAAATGGTATGGCACTTCCCTTAAAAAAGCAAGAAATAGAAATACCATATAATCCAGCATTCCCACTACTAGAAATAAGGGCTGTAACACTAATAGATACATGCAAACCCATGTTCATCATAGCACTATTCACAAAAACAAAAAAATGGAAACAACCTAAATGCTTATCAGTGGAGGAAGAGATCAACAAACTACGGTATGTACACACAATGGAAAACTATGTAAAATTAAAGAACAAAGATGAATCTGTGAAACATCTCGTAACATGGATAAACTTAGAGGCCATTGCACTGAGTGAGGAAGCTCTGGTAGCATAATGCCTAAGGCACTTGACTGCTAACCAGAAGGCTGGTGGTTCAAATCCACCAGCCACTGCTCAGAAGGAAGGTTGGGCAATCTACCTCCATAGTGACAGCGCCTCAGAAACCCAAGAAGAGTCGCTGTGAGTCAGGTCCGACCCTACTCGACGGCACATAACACCAACACCACCACATTGAGTGAAATTAGTCAATCACAAAAGGACAAACATGTGACCACTATCATAAAAAGTCACAAAAATCGTTTCACAAAGAAAGAAATATTCTCTGATGGTTACCAAGGGTGCACCTAACCCAAGCCATGGTGTTTTCAATTGCCTCATACGCATATGAAAGCTGGCAATGAATAAGGAAGACTGAAGAAGAGTTGATGCTTTTGAGTTGATGCTTTTGAGTTGCGGTGCTAGCGAAGAATACTCAAAGTAGCATGGACTGCCAGGAGAACTGAAAAATCTGTCCTGGAAGAAGTACAGCTGGAATGCTCCTTGCAAGTGAAGAACAGCCAGACTTCATCTCATCTACTTTGGTCATGTTGTCAGAGAGACCATTCCCTGGAGAAGAATATCATGCTTTGTAAAGTGGTGGTTGTTGTTGTTACGTGCCGTTGAGTCAGACCTGACTCATAGCGACCCCTCCGTGCGTTTCCGAGGCAGTATCACTACAGAAGTAGATTGCCCAATCTTCCTTCCTGGAAATGGCTGGTGAATTTGAACCTCCAGCCTTCTGGTTAGCAGTCAAGTGCCTTAGGCTCTATGCTACCAGAACTCCTTGGTAAAGCAGAGGGTCAGCAAAAAGGGGAAGGCCCTCAATGAGATGGGTTGACACAGTGGCTGGAACTATGGCTCAGGTATAGCAAGGATTGTGAGGCTGGCACAGGACCAGGCAGCAGGACCAGTTTTGTTCTATTGCTCATAGGGTTGCTAAGAGTCAGAGCTGATTTGATGGCACCTAACAACAACAAGGGGGTGGTGGGTGTTGGGCAATCCTACTTCCGTAGTGATACTGCCTCGGAAACCCAAGGAGGGGTCGCTATGAGTCAGGTTTGACTCGACGGCACATAACAACAACAACAACAACAACAGATTGGAAAAAAATATTCATCAATGACGTATCTGCCAAGGAACTTATCTCTAAAATTTATAGAAATATCCAAT